CTAATTCAGTTGGAGAAAGTCCTTCAAGGTTCGCTAAAGTTTCAAACACTTTGCTCCTTTTTTCACTCATAACGAGATGTTAATTCCTTCTCGGCTTCAACTAAACTTTTGATGGACTTTGATAGCTCCATAAACTCTGCTTGTAAAGGATCGATTGCTCCAAATTTTCTCTTGTACTTTGATTTTCCGAGCTTCGGATGAATAGGTCGCTTCTTGACTTATAAAAGCTGAATGTGTTGAGTTTGAATGCATCTCATTCGTATCTCCATCATCCACATCGTTGTTAGTTTGGTTATCTACCGTAATTTCTTCTTCTCCAGGACCTCGAGCTTTGTCTCCATTAGCCTTATCTTTTGCATATATTTCACACAATTTATCAAAACGGACAAACGGCTTCATATACAATGCCGATGCTCCATCACGACTCTACATAATAACATTGTATTAATAAATTAAACAACAAAAAATTAATATTTAATAATAACTTGAAAGACAGAAGAAAAAGAAAGATGAACTTTACCTTTGCCCATCCCATAAAGGCCGATTTATCTCCTATCATCATTTTTTTATCATCCCATCCAAATCCACTACCATTTTTTTGAATTTCTAATATATAACCAAGTTGCTTCTTCAATATCTTAATTTTTGAGTCAATATGCGGTTTTCCTTTAATACCACATCTTGGTAATTTTTCTTCCATAAACTTCTCAACATGAGTAAAAAATCCATTCTTGTAACCGGTATCCACCTTCCATTTTGTGCCGACTAATTCCAAAAGGATATCAACTAACACCAATTCTTCTTCGCTATTCCACATTCGTTTATTCCTACCCCTTCCTCGACCAGAGTTCATGCTGCAAATTAACTTGGCTTCACTTCTGAATTTTCCATCTAACTAATAAAAGAATTGCATAAGAAAATATATATGCAAAACAATCACATACTGTTCACATCACATTTGGAATAAACAATATACATACCACCAATCAAATAATATAATTGTTAAAACATTGATAGATGAAAGCATAATAAAAAAAATTAAATTAATTAAAATCTCAATACAAAATAAAAACAATAAAATATTATCCATTTTGTCACCTAGCTCTCCATGAATCATACATTTCTCTAGCTAGATTATCCCTCCAAGAAGTCCATTGGTTTGTTGTTTCGGTAGTAGCAATATAATTTATGTTATTACTATCGTCTTCTACTAAGGTATTTAAATATTGCTCCATTGGGTCAAGTCTCATTTGTTGTCGAATGAGATTGTGAATATAACAACACACTAATATGACATCAATTTGTGTATCAATAGGATAGTAAGTTGGATATTTAAGTGTTTCCCAACGTAGCTTCAACAATCCAAATGTCCTCTCAATCACATTTCTTCTGCTTGAATGTTTCATATTAAAAAATTCTTCCGGCGTATTTGGTTGATATCCCGTTCTCCATTCATTTAGGTGGTAACACTAACCTCTATAAGGAGCAAGAAATCCCTCACAATTTTTATATCCAACATCAACAAGATAATAGAAACCTAATAAATAAAAAATAAAAAATTAGAATATTAAATATTAATTAGTGTAACATATAAGGTTGCATATATAATATATCTCACCCTTAGGAACTTTCAACCCATTTGTCCTAGTTAAAGCATCTCCAAGCACTCTTCCATCAGCACATGAACCTTCCCAACCAAGCAAAACATATATAAATTACATATCTTGAGAACACATGCCTAGAACATTTGTTGCAATTTCATTTTTGCTTGTTCGATATCGTGACTTGTCGAGTACTCGGTACATTTACTCTAATGTATGTGCCGTCTAAAGCTCCTAAGCAATTCTAGAGTAAACATAAAACTAAAGTTAAATTAATGATAATTTACTTTAATTATAAGAAAAAATTATGAAGACAAGACACCCACCTCAAACCACCTCCATCTCTCATCATTGCAATTGGCGGTAACACGTTCGGGGTTTTAAGTAAAACCCTCCAAAGCTTTAGTACTTGCTTTTAACACTCCATGAAAATGTCTACTTATTGTCTCTTGATCGTTGAAAATCATATTTAATTTCTTGATTTTTCTCCTTAAATGCAATAAGGTGCAAGAATATTGCAACCATTTCCTCAACATTCATATTTCTAGTATCTCTAAGTCCTCCGATATCTCGAACCAATGAACAAAGAACATTAAAAGTATCTCTATCCATTCTAAGTTGTTCAATACATGCAATGTCACTAGCAACAATCATGCCATTGAGGTGTTGAATGCGTGCTATTGGATTATATCTACTATGTTCTTTTATCAACCTCAACATACGTCTCCAAATGACATACATCAATATGGTTAACAATATAATAATCAATTTAATCCTACGTCTTCTCTGCAAGATGTGTCTAACAATATCTCTGTTGCGAGGTGAACGAGCCATAACCGTTAAAAAGAAAAGAGGATGGGTGAAATGTTTTGTACGGATAAGGTGGTTCATATTTAACCTAAGCAAATTCTCGTGTAGAATTTGTGTACATAAATAATAGTGATTCCATATTTTGTAGGCACACTTGTAATTATAATAAACACATGCGAGAAAAACATTCGGAGAGAAATTTAAGATATCAAGAGACCAGGTGCTTTATATAGGTAGTTGAGAAATTAAAGAAGAGGAAAACTAAATCCTAAAGGGGATACTAAACAAAAACACGATCGAATTTCATAAAAGAAAAGAGGAAAAAAATAAACAAATACAGGGATAAGCACGAAAATCCTAGAGTGAAAATGCTAGGTACAAAAGCATTACCATGCTAGAAATGCCATTAAGGTTAGGTGCAAGCCAAAGGTATAAGGATAAGTACAAAAATCCAATTTTGTTCTTCCTTTCTATTTTGTCTAAGTCCCAATGAATAAATGTTTATCATAATTTATTATGGACATGAAACAAACATGCATGATGTTTAAAGATTTATTTATTTACAAGACTTGCCATATCATTATTATCTAAACAAAGCCACGATAAAAACACGAAATCAGCGAGATGTAGTTAAATAATGCCAATTACTCAAGGGATAAAAAGGAGTTCTACAAAGCTTTGGCACCTGTAACGTTCTCTTAATTTATACTTGTAACCCCACTATAATTGCCCGAAAAAAAATTCATGATAAAAAATTAAAAAAAAAAAAGAAAAAGGTCATTTGATTCTCTTCATAATATGATATGCAATATGCTGCCAAGTTCTAACTTCGTCCTCGCAGAGGCTCAACTCTCACTGCCACATTCTCCCATCAAACTTTTCCTCACACATTAATTATCTCAACCACAAATCCTAAAAATCCTAAATATCACTTGTCCATTAATCTAACACCAATAAAAATTATGAAATTATCAACAAAGAAGAAAAATAATATCACAAGGAGAGAAAGATTAGTTGTTGAAGGAGAAAAAAACACACACGAGAGAGAGAGAGAGAGAGAGAGAGAGAGAGAGAGAGAAAGATTACCTGTTGAGGGATAGATATGACGTTGCAATTTTGGTGGCTACCTAATTAAGATTAAAGGGAACACAAAGCAATGTCAATTTAGATTAAAAAAAAAAAAGAAAAAAGAAAAAAGATCGAGAGAAGAAGAAAGGGCTACTGCGAGAAAGTGGCTCGGGAGAGAGATGAGTTTGTAAGCTTTGGTCGCTAATTAGGTTTCGTAGGAGACATTAGTATATATAGTGGCATAATTATAATATTTATTAAAAGCTAAGGATATTTTTAAGAAAAAAAAATAGCGCTTTTTTTTTCATTCCTAAGTTCTCATTCCCACTTAAACCCGCATCTATAAAAGTAATGAAATCTCGGGAAAAGTTTATTCCCATTCCCTATTTTTATTCTCATTCCCATATTATTACCGATTACCAAACACCTCACCATCAAGGAATGAAGTGGGAATTCCCATTCCCGATGTGTTATTCCCGATTACCAAACGGCACCTTATAAGTTTAGAAACTAAGTAATTTAAATTCTATATTTAAATACAAGTGAAAAAGATATTCTACATTCATACTACGCGATAAAGTAAATTTAACAATTTAATAGTGTCCAACACCAAATGAAGCCTCCCTTCCATGTATATGAACCTAAAAAAATGCTGATCTTAATAAAACAAGTACGAACCAAGAGCTATAACACATCTTTAAGCGAGAATAATATAGAATTATGACTGACCTTGTTGCCAGTTCGAAGAAGATACTTAAGGTATCATTGATTGCCTTATTGCTCCGCAATAGAAAAGTTATTGGCATTAAAAGAATTTCAAGAGAAAGAAATTTGAATATGGTATGCACAATATGGTATGCACTACCACATCCAAGTATGCCTAAAGAATTAAGGAAATTGTTTGAACATATTCCAATAGTTTTATGTGATCATCAATCCCAAAATGCTCACATGATTAGGTATAAAATTGCTGAAAATAAAAAGAAATAAAAAGAATCAGCAAATATGAAACTGATTTTAAAGGGATAAACCGAGTGGTGGTTTCGGCATTTATATTTCAAATTAATTTACATCGAAGGATGCAATTCCCGAACATGGACGTAAGAATTCATAAGACGATGGAAGCATGTCGAATAGCATGATTAAGTTTTTGCTTACGAGTTGAGAATATCTCTAAGAATTTCAAAAAAGAAAAAGAATATGAAATATAAGAAAAGGAGGTAAAGAAAAGTATAAATATATAAATGTATTTTGGACTCGCAAATCGGAGTGCAATTTCTCTACATTTAATCCTATTGCATGTGAGAACTTGCTCCTTTGCATTCAAGCAACTTTTGCCTCTTTACCTTAATACTAGTTTGGTGGTTCTCCTAAGTTATTACCCGAATACTTGGATTGGTGATGCTCCTTAGTTATATATTGCAACAAATGTAGTGATTGCACACCAATCCCGATTAACCCCCCACACACACACACCAAGAAGAAAAAATAAAATGGCTCGACAGACGAACATCAATTAGATCACTTGAAGCTACGAGTCGACCCGGTACACTGCAAATAATCTAACCCATCAAAGGCCTCCCTCCACCTTACCTCTATAACACGATTCTCATGAAAATCACCATCTTCTTCGTCGATCATCTCATCATTATAGTCATCTCCCAAGCCGGTATCATCATGGTCTTCCGGATCGGTGTCGGCAAGAGACATCATAGCGGCACCATCTTTAGCAATATCCTCATCCTCCCCTCATCATCATCCTCATCCTCCTCACCATCATCTCCCATGTCATCGTCCTCATCACCCATATCATCATCGGCCCTGTTCTCGACATGAAAAGTCATCTCAATTTGGTCGGTGTTGTGTAACCCACCACCTTCTTTCATTTCTTTACGCATGAAATCCATTCCTCTTTCCATTTATGGGTTGGTTGCCATTGTATCTTCCAATTCGATCCTTGTGTTTTGCTCTGTCGACCGATTTTGATGTGCGGCACGACTACCCTCAAGATGAGGAGTTCCTTGCTTGTTGCTTGAATGTCGGTCTCCTCCTCATCCGGGACTTCGTGCGTGCCACCAATACTGCGATTATGCTCTATGGTCTCCGCGGCGGATGCGGCTTTGTTCATCATGTCTCTCACTTGACACCGTAGTTTTCTTCTTATTCGGACCCTCGGATTTAATAACTTGCTCACTAGCATTGGCGGCCCTTGACGAGGCTTTCCAAAGGACCAAAGCCTTCGATAGAAGATTATCAATTTTAGGAGCATTAGGATGGTCCAAATCAATCACTTGAAGAATGCCGGTAAGAGTCGCACCATTCCTCCACCTATCATGCTTTTCTGTGTATGCGTTGAGCATCCGGAACCGGGTAAGTGGTCGGAGGATGCATTTTTAGACAAAATTGAATATACCGGATCGGACAAAGCAAAAACCTTTTTATCGAGCAACAAAATGTTTTTATGTGAATTGCTCTCCGAGTTTGAAAATCCGGACGGATTCTTCGACACACGAAGCTTTTGATCCTTTCCGTCTCTTTTCCTTTGATAACACCACAAAAGTCCTCCCTCCTAATGACTCCAATCGACAACTGCAGCGAGCGGCTTTCATAAAAACCATAGGATCTCCGGAGATAACGAGTGCCATAGACGTCAAAAATGTCCTTGGGGAAATATGCCCGGCATGGCGATTTCGAGCACAAAGTTTGCCTTATCTCCAATTGCATAGCGGTTTGCGAGCTTGAGGATCTTCGAGGAGGTGCCGAATTATGGCAGTGCACAACGGTGTCATATCCGGGGAAGAAGCAACTTCTTCGAAGACTAAAGAGAGCGGCTAACACTCCGTTTTCAAGAAATTGCAAGGCTAAAACGTGAGTTTTTGTCAAGCGAGCACATAAGCGCATAATAGCTCGCATGATCACGACGAGGACGTCTTCGTTTCATCAAGTCACAAGCAACAAGTAGTACTTTATGACTCTCTTCAATAGTCGAGTAACCGGTTGACTTCCCTAATATTTTCTCAAGTGCTTGCACTGATTCTTTCTCGGGGAAGTTCGAAGCCACTTTTTCATCCATACTCGATGCGGAACCGATGCATCGAGTGGAGATGAAGTCTCCCACGGATTCGGAAGAGATTATGGGCCCGGATTGCAACATATTATCCAAGATGAGCAGCAAAGCACTTATGCATTTTGGTATAAGAATTTCGCTCCACGATGCATTTCTAGCCTTGAAATTCATCAAAACATCTGCTGCAGCGGCAACAATACCATTACGTGCGGCAATTTCTCGAACAGTTCCATCCTCGAAAAGAAGCGATGCTAAAATATGTGATATCTTACACAATGCACTCGGAATCCTTGGAAAAATCCAACGGGCAAAGCTTTAGGCCGCTCAATAAGATAAGATGCCACCTTTAGATGGTCCTCTCCTTTGTTCCGATTGCGAAGGGTCAAAAGCAAATCTATCATGAGAATGCCATCGTATCACTAATCCGAAACAACTACACGGATGCGGCAAGAATATCTTCGACGGGAGGCACCTTCATTTGTCCTCCTTACGTCGGGGCATCTATTGGCTTATCCACATTGTCAACTTTCGATCCTTCGATGAACTTCCTAGTGACGGCGCAAGTGCTCGAGCCAACTCATCATCCTCCCGCACGGGATCCTCGGCATGATCGAACGAGCCACTCCATTGCCATTTCAACACTATTTGTTTCCACCCGCCTCGATTCCTCTTCGACTCTTGCCCTTGTAAAGCCCATCTCAACAATTGTTGCAATTGTATTTTCATCGAGCGGTGGGGCATGAACCTTTGGTTCGTAGTTCTCGTAACACCACTTGCGATTCCTTTTGACATCTCCAACACCGGAGTATATGCGTGTAACAAGTGATATAATAGAAGCAATGAAACTAGAAGCGCAACTTGGAATCATCGGGTGGTTCCGGACAGGTAATATGACATCCGGGACACGAGGCTGCGGCATGCGAACAAAGACTTCGGGGTCCTTAGGAACAGGAAATAGCCCGATTGACAAACCAACCGCAACGAAGCTGAACAAGTAGGCGAGCTTGGGATGCGAGAGGTTGAAGATAAAAGTAGAGAGGAGTTTACGTAGTACTCGAGCACGCGGCGATAGGCTGTGTAAAGTGTCAAGTAGCCATGTACTTGTGAGACAAATTATTTCCTTCACTGCCTTCTCATGGTCAGGCGAGGGTGTGGGAAAAAAGTAAGGGAGTGTCCATAAAAGTTGACTTGTAGCTTCAAATGTTGCGAGAAGCTCCCTAAAGGTTCAATGTACATAAAGATTATTGACCATTCTTTGCATAACAAGTGCGCCTCCTCTCGTCAAATATGAGTGCTTGCCATGTCATCAACTACCTTTCCAAGATATGGGCACTTAGCCGACGGTGATGTATCAAGTCCGGTTGTAGAATACCCGGAGAAACTTAGAGCCTCAAGAAATATTTTAGCCAAGGTGGTTCCCGGGGTCTTTGAAGGCTGCACTCGACGATCCTACATCGGCCCTTCGACGGTTTGGTGACGTAAATCCCTTCACGAGGGTAGAGAAGAAAGAACCTCATCGGGAGTTCTCCTTTTCAACTTTGGCAAAGAGGTCTCGGGTTCATCGATGGGATCTCGGAGTCAACACTTAAAGCATCCGAGTGCCGACCGGTCCTCCCACCGCGTATGCGTGCCAAGCCATGTCGACTACGACGGTGCAAACCTTCACCTGAATGAATGAGCTGGAGAGAAATTCACGTTCACCACTCCAAAGGGATCGAGAACCATTCCTAACGAAGCTGGGTTCATGAATCTCACAAGCTGGAACATTTGCATCATCATCGCCCTCTCTTCCAACGGCATTTGATGAAGACACATCCGCACTCTCGGTCTACGGTTACGCATTTCTCTTTTCATCCACTTTGGAGTCATTATACGGAGAAACTTGCCAAATTATTTCCCGGTATGCCTTCCCAAGATCCTTTAACACATCGGCATCCGCGATGCCCGATTCCGAGACAACGGTACTATTCCCCTCCACATTTCTTTCATTTCCATGTTTCGAATGCGAAAAACACGGAATAGAAGATGCCCAATTCTCTAATTTGAACTTCTTGGGTCTTTTAGTTGCTAAACTATTCAAATTCTCACTATTTCCTTTACAAATAGGGTAATAAGCGAACCAGAGCATGAAATATTCAAAGACATTTAATTGTACTTGATAATATAAAGAGCCTCTCTTCCTTTAATCGAATCTTCTTTGATTTTCCCTTTAAGGAGAGGGAAAAGATTGTTTTAAACACGACAATCTTTTTTGCTCGATAACATAAACCGAGCCCACTCCGGCAACCGCTCGATTGGGAACACGTATTTCACTAAAGATTGACGATCAACGGCGAAGATTGATTGGAAAAGCACGGCTGTTCGGAGAGAAGACGTTGAAAACCCTAGAAGTTAAAGCGTGGTCGTTTGCTTTGTGGATTATGTCGAGCCATCCACCGCCGCTTGATTTTGGTTGGGCGGCGACGTGGAGTCATCGAAGCCATAGAGCTTGCGGAATAAGGTAGGGAAGGTGAGGGAGAAGAAGTGGCGGGATTGATCGGGAGAGTGAGAGTGTAAGAAAGAGTCGACGGAGGCACGGACGGAGGAGATCGAGGAGGAGTCGAGGAGGAGAGAGATGGCTAAGGCGAGGTCTTGGGATTTGGAAAGGGAATCCATGGTGTACGAGTGCGGGTGCATGGTCGAGGCGAGTGTAGCGGATTTTCTACGGTTTTGGTTGCTTGAGAGAGAGAGAGGGGGTTCGCGTCCGTTTGAAAGATTTGAAAACGAAGGGGCTATGGGGTGTACGTGGCGATAAATTTAAGGTACGGCGTGACGGTGATGCGTGGGGTACGGTTGGAGGAGGTTTTTTTTTCTTTTTTCTTTCAAAGTGTTTTTTTTTTTTTTTCTAATTTTTGAGTTGAATACGACCGGGAATGATTCGTATTTGGTTTAATTTCAATTCGATTTTAATTTAAAAAAATTGAACCAAAATAATTTTAATTTTCTTATTTTTAATTAATTTTTGAATTTCTTTTTCATTTTTATGGTAAATCAATTTTTTATATTGTTATTTAAATTTTGATAATTTGATTTACAATATATATTGAATAATTAATATTTTTTTATAGTTATATGTTTTAAATACATACTAGTTTGTGATTCGCGTATTCTTTGCGGGACTAGAGTAAAGATATTGATAAATAATATTACAAAATAAGATAATATTCATAAATAAATTTTAAATAATTAATTGATTAATCCATAAATTCTTCAACACCAACTTATTTTATTGTAGCGCGAATAATGTTGTGTGATGCGAGTTGCACAAACATCATTTCTTTTATCAATAGATCTATTCATTCAACAAAAGCAATGTTCTAAAACTATGAATGTTATAATTCTTTTGATGTAATGCAGCATTGAATTTGATCAAAAATTAATTTTTTCATAATCTATGTTTTTCATAATTTTGCAACTCGGAAAAAAGATGATTTGTTTTTCTTTATGCAATGATTTTAGACTAAAAGCTTGCAATAATGTAAATTAAAATTTTTATCTAAATTTCAAAAGCATGCCATCAAAATAAATTTTTTGTAAGATTTCATTAGAAAATGTTTTTTATTTTATTTAATGCTGATGAAAAGATTATTTTTGATAGTGTATGTGTGTGTGTGTGTGTGTGTGTGTACGATTTCAATTACTTATGCGATCATAATCTAGATTTTCACCCACGGCATAATTTACGAAAGCATTCATTGCAAAGCTTTTCTAGTGTTGCTCTACCTGTATAAAAAGAAAAAAGAAAAAAACTAAGTCTTGGATTACATGAGTTTATTTAAATCTATATGGACCATTCTAGCCTTAAATCTATCCCATATTCTACCTTCCACGTGAATTATTTGCTATAATAGGCCGGACACTTCATGACTTAATGCAAGAGAAATAGACAATTAACCTAGACTAATCGAGTCTAGGCCTTGTCATAGGTCTTTTATCATATTACCCATTTCAAATTTTTGGTATGCTATCTATATTACCCTATAATCACACAAGTTATATGATTTCATTAAAAATTATTCATAAAATCGATTCAAGTATGAAGTACTATTTTCGAGCATAATTGGATCCTAATTAGCAAAACTCATTCTTTCAATTCTTCTAGGCTCGTTCTTGTCAATATAGCTTTGCTCCACAAGTGTAAATCCATAGGCCCAACTCAAAGAAATGGAATGAGCAAAGGAGTGGAACAAATAACCATTGTATCACAACATGTGGACAAAGTAGAAAGGGATAAACATACTCACAATGTGTGTG